TTTTTTTTTTTTTTTTTTTTTTTTTTTTTTTTTTTTTTTTTAGGGCATATCTTAGTGCCTTGCTGTAATTATTTTACACCCAAAAGCTTAGATGTACTGTGTAACAGTGTATTTTCATTCTGATAAATTTTTCTGCATCCACTATCAGTATTTAATCTTTGCATCACTTCTTAACTGTTTCTCACAAATTAACACAATTACAGATGTGCTTTTTCTCAGAGGAAAATGTCTAATCTACCTCATTTATGGAACAGAGTAGAGCATAAATTCTGAGTATATAAATGAGAGTATAGTTAAATGGATATATAATTACCTATTTATAAAATATATATTAGAATATGTTTAAATTCATTAGAGATTGCTTCCTGATAAGAAGTTTGGAAAGAATCTAAGCAAAAAATTGAATGAATCATGAGAAAACTCCATTTGCTTTCAGCATTTTAGTTCAATTTTGCAGAGTCAAAAGTAGGTTTTTCTTCTGACATTCATGAAGCTTTGATGATGCAATTTCTCTTTTCAGCTTAGTCAGACGCTTAAGCCCTCAGTTGACTCACAGACTGCACATGTCCACATGATGTCAGTTACTCACACATATTTATTCTGTTTTTCAGTAGATAAACCTTCATTACTTTTTATGTCTAAGCCTTCTATCCATACCTCTGGGGAAAGCAGTTAAACTCCTTGCACTTGAAAAGCCCAGACAGCTCAGGCTATGAAAGCAGCAGCAGGTCTGTCTGGATCCCAGAAGCTGCCTCGCAGCTTCCATGAGAGATGATGTTATGAAAAGCTACACAGTTCAAACCAGCTCCTCTGAAAATACTTGCAGCAAAATTAAACCTTTCCTCATCTCATTGCTTTACCAGAGGCTTCCTTTCTTCCACCAAGTATAGTTTTTCTCCGAAGAATTCAGATCTTCATTGTGCCCCAGCCATCCCACAGTTACACATTGTTCTCAGAAAAATAGGGGCAGTAGTGCCTCACTGCTACTCAGGACCCCGGTCAGTAGGCTCAGCACTGAAGGAGCCCAGAATTGTCACCCACCACAGGCCAATACCCCCCCAAAGAGTGTCCTTAAAAACTATCTCAAACCAACAGCAGCACAGCTTATCCCACCCCTACACATTATCACATAGTTACTGCCAAGCATCAGTGAAGAGTTGAGTTATGTGGTGATATAATACATATGGGAATATAGTGTATCTAAAACTGCATTTTATCCTCTTTCCTGTTAAGTACACTCAGACATAATACCACCAGCAGTGACATATTCACATAAACATTCACACGTGGTTGTAGCCAGGTGGGGGTTGGTCTCTTCTCCCAGGCAATCAGCAATAGGACAAGAGGGCATGGGGCTTAAGCTCTGTCAGGGGAGATTTAGGTTGGATATTGGTATGGCCAGTCTCTTCGCAAACGAAGAACCGGGGAAGGTCTTTCCACCTTCCAGCCTGCGCATTGGATTTTTTTAGGTGAGACACAGCGTGCGCGGAACTGAGCCCACCCTTTAATCCTGAGGTTCATCTGCCGGGGCCAAGCACGCTTGGACGGTGGCAGTGAGGTCCTCAGGACGTAGATGGATTGCCTTACAGGGCTAAGGAGCTCCATCTGCCCAGGGAGGGACCCTGACCGGGACTCGAACCCGGGTCTCAGCGTTCACAGCGCTGTGCTTTAACCACTTCACCACCAGGGGCTCCCAGGTTGGATATTAGACAGAAGTTCTTTACAGAGAAGGTGATCAGGCATTGGAATGGCCTGCCCAGAGAGGTGGTGGATTCACCGTCTCTGGAGGTTTTTAAGATGAGGCTGGATGTGGCACTGGGTGCCATGATCTAGTAATCACAGTGGGATTGGATCAAGTGTTGGACTTGACCTCAGAGGTCTCTTCCAACTCAGTTAATTCTATGATTCTATGATATTAAACTTTGCTGACACAAATAATATTTAAGCTGAGTCTCAGGTTTTTAATTAAAAACCCCAAAAGCACAAGGAAAAGAGAACAGGGTGTTATGATCAGTTTCTTTAAAATCATTAGATCTATGCCTCCTCCTAAATTAAGGTGCAATGGGAGAATATACCAAAAACAATAGTACAGATTTTATTTAACAGTAAATGTAAGTTAGAGAGACATACAAAGAAATAGGAGAAAGAGAGAAAGGGGAAGAGAAAGAGAGTAACAGAGAGACATATTAAGTAGAAAAAGTATTACCACTTCATGGATTCTGACAGCGTCCCATCAATCCTTTTCTTGTGGTCTTCTCAGTGCTGAGAGTCCCGGTCTTGTCAAAGTGATGATTGAAGTCTGGATCTATTGAAGGAGGTCCAGGTTACTGAGGAAAAAAGCCAGTGGTGGCAAAGGAAGTCCCATGTGGTGAAGGAAGAAGTCTGTTTTGTGAAAGAAGTCTGTGTGATAAGGGAAGAAGCCTGTGTGTGTGAGAAAAGAAGAACGTGTGTCGAGTGAAGTCTGTGCCATGAGGGAAGAAGCCCAAGTGTGGCTTGCATTGGGCCTGGGCTAGATGAGAGCACCCCTGGTACCTCCCTTGGGGTGGGGAGTCTTACAGTGGATGATGTAATACTGGATTATGGGATATTTCATGAGTCTTTTACAGCTTTTAAGATGTTACAGATGCACACAGTGTCCATTATGGCCCATCAGGGGAGATGAATATCTTCAGGCCACAGTTAAATTGTCCCAGTGCTTCCCTGGAGGGGAGTTATCACAGCTGAGTCATTTGTGGAAGGACAAAGAAACACTACCCCAGGATTTTGTCTCTTTCCTTGTCTTGTTCAACACCCAGCTTGTAGCCTGAGCTGTTTGGTGCACACACCCTCAGCACCTGGGTAGTTACTTTACACCTTGTCAGCTTCCACTTTGATTGTCTGAGCCATTAGCTTATTACAGTCTTTCACACTTGTGGATACATTCTTTTCCTGGGATATTTGAAAAATAGTACCTACCACCTTTATGTTACCTCAAGTTCCTCTCACAGTCCAACATAATAGGGGCGGGCTTCTGTAAGACCCAAAGCTAAAAGCTCACCAAAGGGTTTTACTTTAAAAATATACAAGGTTCCAACAATATCCATTCTTGAGATTATTAGAAGAGCATTCAATTCTTTTAACACCTTAAGAGAGTATGCAAAAAAGAAAAGCTGCACACATTTTCTCAGGGGTTACTTTTACTGGTAAACTTCAGAAAATGAGGGAACTTGGCAAAAGTTTAAACAGTAACATAAGACAAAAATAAAGCATTCCATGAAGCATTGACTTAGCATGCGCTAACAAATACAATTTAGCAAAATCCAGTCCATTTCCAAAATATTAAGAAAAGAGATTAGAAGAAGATGTAAAAAAAAAGAGAGAAAATGAGAAAATTATGGTTGCCACCAGAGTCCTGTGAGAGTCTGGCTTCCATGTGTCCAGCTGGCAGGGTTCAAACAAAGATGGAAAGCAAATGTTGCTGCTTTTATTTGCTTTGACCCCAGGCAGGACTTCAGGTGTGCTAGCCAACCTGAGGCTGGGTTAGGGGCTCCAAGGTGTGTTTGGGCAGTACTCCGGATGTCCAGTGACTGACAGCTGTCCCAAGGCTGCCCCAGGACACTTGCAGGGCCTAGGCTTTGGGATAGAGCATTACCTGACCTCTGTGAAATTCGACCTGTCCCTCCTCCTCCCACCCTCCCCACCTGGAGTTGGTCCAAGCCAACAATTCATAGAATAATCCACTGTCTCACAGCTTTGATGAGCAGTTGCTTCTTTACACAGTTTGCTGCACTGGACAAAAGTCCTTCAGTGATTTTTACAATATTTAAGCCATAAATCCTTTCAGTGATTCCCACAGGCTTAGATTTTTTTTTT